TCACTGACCATCTGGATTTTGCAGTGATGAAAATATTATGGCTGGTTCTCTGTAGTGTGACCTGGTGAGACCCATGTAGCTTTGCGTATGTGGGGAAATAAAGTACCATGCACCTAGTTTAATTGCTGTTATGATTGTCAGAAAGGACATCGGTCACATAATTTCTTAAGAATCTCAGCTCTCACCATGAGGCGTTATAATTTTTCCAAGTGGAGATCCGTCAACACCCAGGACAGAGCCTGAGGGGTTTACATGTTTCCTGGTCAGCGTTTTCTTAAAAATGTCGGTTTATACCGAATGAGGTTACGGACTCCATGCCCAAACCTGCTCTTTTTCGGGCTTGAGACTGCACAGATTAACCTCAAAAATCACAATTCATTCTTCTATACTAACAATAGATAGTTTAATACCTTTGTGGGATTTGATTTCATACTCCGTTGAGTTTTCATCAATTGAAAAGTCTGAAGTATAGCGAATACATCGGAAAATCTCCAAAGATTATGTAATGATTCCAAATTAAAATGATTACGTTAGATCACTTAAGTAATCTTTTTGGAATGAAGCGTTTTAGACGAATCCTTATATTAGTATTTGGTAAACATAAACCAAATTAAAAATGTGATATGAATATCTAATATTTCGCTGAATTCGTTCTAAAAACAGAATAAACTAACAGATCGTGGTATTTTGCATTTTATATTTTATGGGATCCACCTACATGATATGTTGTTGTAAACAGATATTGATGAAGACAATTTAGGCTATTTCAAAATAGCGTGTTACATCTATTTGTTCGGTACCTTGTGTTTAATTTCATAAATGCATCAGTACTCTCTTAGTACTAATATTTGGGCAATGAAGATTCTTCTCACAAACTAGGTAGAGATATGAACACTTCAGATAATTTACGAAACTTATACCATTCAGAGAGTAGAAAACCTACGTTTAAAGTCAAGTGACGAGACACTCCTTCTCTAGAACAATGTAATTCCTTAATGTACGTAACTGGATATAACAGGCTGTCATAATCAAATTATTTCTCTATCGTAAAACAATCCTATTTGTTTAATGCTACCTCCAAAGTCCTATTATTTGTTGATGCTTCTATTTAGATAACGTTTGTGTAGAAAAAACTACCTGCACGACAGTAGAATATTACATTACTGGTCTTAAGTTTAAACCCATAGTAGTTACGATCCCCACTATCACAAGAAAACGGTAACTCAACATAATTAACAATAATATCGCTAGCTTTTTTTAAGATCAACATCGGACATTTACTGTAGGTCGAAAAGCATTCGATTCCAGACAACAACCGAGATATAAATAGTTTCGAAGGTTTTCTGAAACAAAGGCTCAAAAGTCAAACATTAATGCTATTTAAATTGAATGCAATTTCTACAACTGCACTTTTGTGTATTACCTTATACTACTTACTAATAATCAGTAACCACAGCAATTCAGAATATTTTGGATGTATGCTTCCCAATTACGTCGCAATGTTCTATGGCGTTGTCTGTGATGCAGTTAGATAATTTCCACAATGTGTGTCCTATCCACCTCCATCATCATCTCCTAACTTCCTCTTCAGCTGGAATCTGATTGGTTCTCTCCCACAGTAGGCTGTTGCTAATGGTATCCGACCAAAAGACATTCAGTATCTTGCGTGAACTGGGTCATCTGTCGAGTCCGAATCGTCTAGTTGCATCCAACCTGTCCATTATGTTCCGTGCTTCCCTTCAAATGTGGAGGTCTTCATAATCCCGTCAAGCACCAGAAGAAAAAGAAAGGGGGAGAGTAAGCAGCCTAGTCTGACTCCAATCCCCACTTGGAATGCGTTTGTCTGCTGCACTGCATGCACAACTTTGCAGTGTGGTCGATCGTATGAATTCCGTATGATGTTGACGATTTTCTCAGACACACCATAATGCTAAATAGTGTTCCATAACTATGTACGATTTTTCGATTTGCGTAATGAAATTAGCTTGGAAGGCGCTAATCACCTTAACGAACATTCTTGTAAATATCTTTAGACATATAATTTAAGAAATAGACTACTCAAATTATAGTCGAGTTTTCATCGTGAAGACCTCACATGTTGAGTATTATAATATATATAATATAATTATATCATAATCATACTGTCTTTTTAGTTTATGGATTTTACGTATCACTTAATAGTGTGGTTGGACTGCTATAGCAAACGACTCTCTAAAAATAGTAAACTATAACTAGTGTGAATTTGTTATATTTTTATATGACAAATTAAGCTACTAAACTTAGATTCATGAAAATATTAGATTTCAATTAGTGGAAATTGTTTAGTATGAAGATATTATCGCACAACGAAACGATTCATTATTAATGATTGCCTCACATAAAATAATGAGAATAAAATTTTTTTTCAACATAACAAGGTACACTTAAAAATATCGACAAAAACCAAAACTGGGACCTATTTAACAAAAAAACTATTTTTTTATTATTATTTAGTGCAGTAAGAAAACAGAAAATGTTTTAATATAATTATGAAAAATGCAATAAGAGAAATAACGTAGAATATAAACCACAAAAACAAGTAACATACTAAACTGTCAACATTTTGTCATAAGTAGTATATCCATTTCTGTAACAGTTATTAGTATATACCAAAATGAACTTTAACACAATATGGTAAGGGACATTATAGAAACATATATGTATAGCAGTATATGTGATAAATTTCTCGGCCGAAAATGTCCAATAAAAAACAGGGAGAAGAATGTGTAACAAATACAATGCAACCTTGGAAAAGAGAAATAACAGTTGTTTAACAAAAAAAATGGTTCAAACAAAAAAGGATTTGTGTACAAGTGTCTAGTCGGAGAATTCGAAATCTGAGTCATCTAGAGCTCCCTTCTTTGACCTAAAACATGAAAACAAAAATGAAAACAAAAATGAACAATATTCAATATCATAAATAATACACAAAATCCGTTAGAAAAATAATCTATAGCTAAGATTAGTGCAGGAAAAATGAAACACGCACTTCTAGATGGCGATTTTAACCATTAATAAACAAATATTTGTACAGGGGATTTGTAAAAATTGTAGGATCTTCATAGTTTTAATCACGTACTGATCCTAGACAGACTACAATTGGAAAGTTGGAAGCATTATACAGATGTTTGGTTTTAATGCAAAGCCTCCCAGCATTCACGACCCCACTACAATCAATAGAACTCAGGATCTTGAATCCGAACACTTAACATCTAGACCACTGAATTAGCATCCAGCGGTGCATACGCCTAACATAAATCAATTACCGATACTGAAAAACCCTTATACATTGTCTGGGGAAAATAACAGTCTGACAGCTCCACTGGACAAGGCATTTCACTAAAAACTCAGCAATCCCATCTTGAAGCTAGACACTAGTGAGGATAGAGTTAGTGTTACTGTAAGGGATTTATAGAGATCGTTGATTTTTCATAGGTCAAACGTTCATGCATGTGACCGAAGGTCCTGCTTTCAATTCTCTGAAGGGGGTTTGTAGATGCTTATTGTTGAGGAATCCCATACTAGGATGAAACAGCTACTCAGTGCTTTCCTGATTTTCAACGATGGTCTAACTAAGACTAGTGCGTGACATAAACAATGAGAAACAAATATTTACTGACAGATCTTAGATTGAAGAGAAAGATGAAAAAATGCTGGCCTCCATAAGTAATATCAGTAATTTTTTCAAATCCATTAATTTCTGCAAAGATAAATTTATTATCTCAAGATGTAGACAGTTAAACACTATTGTTCGCTAATTCACATGCATCAATTTCAAATAAACAAGTTTCGAAAAACAGGGTTAATGTGTGTATATTAGGTGTACATAATGAAAAAGTAAATTACACTAATCGTTTATATGATGGAAAATGAAAATATGTTTGTGACAATTTTAAAGTTTTGGATTTCAGTGAATGCTGTTGATCGCCCTTAATTACGGATTTCAGATATATGAGAAAACCGATCTGTGAATACTTGAAATTTCTTTGAACAGATTATTATTATTATCATTATTAACGGAAACTATTAGTCTGACCAATCTTACTTACTTGCCCTTCTTAACCTTTTCGGGTTCAAAATCGCTATCATCATCGTTTTTCTGACGTTTACGTGAACCACCTTTGGATTGTTTTTTGGCACCATTGTCATCTGAATCAATACCTAGATCGTCATCTTCATCATCAAATACGTATCGGGCACGATTTTTTACAGT